TATATGGGCGCCTGGCAAAACTAAGAACAGTGCTTCAGCACCTGAGTAAGGAATCATTCAAGATTCTGTACACCGTGTACATCAGGCCCATATTACAGTACGCAGCACCAGCAGAGAATCCACACCTGGTCAAGCATCTCAAGAAATTAGAGAAAGTGCAAAAGTTTGCAACAAGACTAGTTCTGGAGCTAAGGGAAATGCCCTACAAGAAGAGGTTAAGGAAAACTGACTTGACGACACTGGAGGACAGGAGGGATAGGGGAGGACATGTAATGACATAAAATACTGAGAGGAACTGACAGGTTGGATAGGGATAGAATGTTCCAGAGATGGGAAACAACAACAAGGGGTCACAATTGGAAGTTGAAGACTTAGATGAGTCACAGGGATGTTAGAAAGTATTTCTTCAGCCATATAGTTGTCAGGAAGTGGAACCAGCCAAAAAATAGGCGAGTACAAATAGGTAAGTACACAGACACACAGCATCACCATGGATTCTGAAGGAGGGAACAGAAGTACTGGTTTTGGAAAAGACCAGACTTTTTCATTAGAGATCAACAAGTACATGAAATATGACATAGGATGTAATGATAGTTACACTGTGTAGTTGATAAAAGATTAATGGATATTCATGCTGTAAAGGGAGTTTACCTGGAGTTTACCTGGAGAGAGTTCTGGGGGTCAACGCCCCCGCGGCCCGGTCTGTGACCAGGCCTGATGATAGATATATCACATCATTATTTAGTTGTAGCTACTATGAGAGTAAAAGGTAGACGGGATACAAAAAGAATGTCACCAGTAAGCAGTAATTATGCTTGGATACAAGTAAATGTTACATTAATGTTGGGATAGAGAGAGCAGGTTATAAGGAGGAAGTGTGGGATAGAGTTAGGAATTCCAGTGTTAGAATGTTCGTAAGTTTGTGGGTACAGAGGGCGGGTGCCGGAGGAAAGAGAAGCGACTAGTGGAACGAGGAGGTACAGATGACGGTACGGGAGAAAAAGTTATCACAACAAACGCTTTTTAAAATGGTACACAGGTGGCATAAAAAAAGAGAATGTGAAATAAAATGAACTATTATAAACAGGACTGAGCCTTTACCAGTAAAATTTCATTGAAGACTTGGCAGTGAAGAACGTGAAGTATATGAGAGGTGAAGAGGGTGTATACATGTGGTATGCTAAGAGTATGCTTTAACCCATAAACGGTCCAGCAGATCTACGTTCACATGTGTAGAGCTACAAAAGTAGATCTAAGTTTTTTTTACATATTTTCAAATGTAACAAAAAAAAAAAGTAGATCAAAGTTTTTTTACACATTTTCAAATGTAAAAAACAAACAAAAAGAAGATCTACTTTTTTTACATACTTTCAAATGTTGAAAAAACGTATATACAGTGGACTCCCGCATAACGATCACCTCCGAATGCGACCAATTATGTAAGTGTATTTATGTAAGTGCGTTTGTACGTGTATGTTTGGGGGTCTGAAATGGACTAATCTACTTCACAATATTCCTTATGGGAACAAATTCAGTCAGTACTGGCACCTGAACATACTTCTGGAGTGAAAAAATATCGTTAACCGGGGGTCCACTGTATACGTTTGGACCATTTACGGGTTAATTTATCTGGCATATGAGGCCTGGTTACAGACTGGGCCATAGGGGCATTAACCCCCAAAACACACTCTCCAGGTATACTCCAGGTATGTAACACACCCACATAGGCATGCCCTCTCGACCACTGTAGCAGATGCTACGAGTATAACAAGCAGTGCCCACTCATCATGCTAGCACCTTGGCTCAACCAGCCAATCACAGGGAAACCTGCCGATGTTGTGAAGTGATGTGGTACACTGGTAAAAACAACTTTGGCAAACTTACCTCCAAGTCTGGTTGAAGACAGTTGTCAGTATGTTCCTTGCTTGCAAACTGACTTTCTGTACATATCCTCTGTATATATTGCACATATAACTGCTTGCTGTTTGGTTTAGGAAATGTACGAGTATTTACTCACGCTGTCATTTTGTTCGTCCTTTGTTTCTACCTTGGTTATCGTGATACAACCAGGTGTGCAGGCCACTAGACTACGCCTATATTCATAATGTACAACTTCACTGGCCACACTTATGATTATGAAGACAGTACAGGGGAGTACATGAGAGTGCATGGGACAGACAGCAGAGACCTTGGAAGTCCACACTGAGGCTATCTACTGTGAAGAACTATCTACTTCTCTCTAGATTAAAACCTATTGTATTACCAGGTGTGTGAGTCGAGGATAATCAATCAATCAGGCAGCTGCCACATTAAGCTCTATGTAGAGCTTTATCATGGCTTGATAAAGCTCTACATAGAGTGAAAACATTGTCCCACTGAATACTCATTCCACATTATGTACCAACATAATCAGGTACCAGATAGATACGTGAAAACACTCACTGTGTTACGGTAATGGGCTAGAGTGCCAGGCTCATGTAAAAATACATGTGCAAACACCTGAGTGTCTTCATCTCATCAGTAAAGGCCCCCAGATGTTGTGCATGTGTCTTATTCATCAGAAAATTTGCAGTTGTGATGAAGAAAGGAAGGAGGCTATCCTGTGCATTGCACAAGGAGGTCTTACATCTTACAGGAGTAAGGAAAATCTGGAGGCAAATGTGGGAGAAGTGTTTGAACATAGAAGGAAATGAAGAACACAGGAAAATAAAGAACATAGGGAAATAAGAGGTTGGATTAGACTTACGTATAACACAGACTGGTTGTACCAGACCAGTCCAGGAGCAGTTACTACTGACAAAGTTGAAGATAGTACCAAGGCCTACAAATCCTCCAGGGCATGTGTATCTGAGAAAGAAATCACAGGGATTACTACTGTTACCTACAGAACATGTTTACCTGAAGGGGGGTTACTGACGAAAACAAACCAATTTTTAAACAAAAACCCTTGACAAACACCTGTACCTCATTGAACAATTGGCAGCATCAACTTACGTTACATTAGCAGGTTGAACGATAGTCTGGTTATCGTGGTACTGGATACAGGTAACGTTCTCTACTTTGGTAGTCCCTGCTATGGTAGGAGCAGCAGCCAGTGTAACTACCTCTGTGGATGTAGAAAGGTGTTAGTAGGGTAGTAGTTGTACTAGCAGTCATAGTAATAGTAGTAAAATTAGTAGTAGTGGTACTAGAGACTGTGGTGGTCATAGTAATTGTACTAATAGCACATGACAGAAAACACAGTTACTATTCTCCTATTAGGTAACTATCTCATAAAACAGGATAGCAGCACATGGTCCATCTATCCAGTCTTTGCTATATAAATAGAAGTTGTGGTCTACTTACCCAGACAACGAGAGAAAGTCTCTGGGCCAGGCAGCCAGGTGTGGTTGTTCTGACACACGCTCGTCTTAACAGTGCGGTCTTGGAAGTAACCATTATTGGGACACTGGTATTGTATCTGGAGGAACAAAACAGGTATATTGTTAGCAGCAGGCCTGTATTTCTTGGGCTCTGAACCTTGAATTATTATTTGGGCCCCTTTGCAACCCGCTTCTGAGTCAGTATACCCAGAACTTTTAAGGAAAGTGGACTAAAGTTGCTTCTGGGGCCCCTCCAGAATTAGGGGCATTCAAGCTTACACTTCATTAGTTTCATAGTAGATTTGTCCATGTATTGTTCCAGTCACAATATTGTGACTGGAACAATGCACAAATAATGGAAGAAAAAAACTTATGATAGCATTTCGGTTTGACTTGTACCATTTACAAGCCACAGAAAAGTGGAAAGGAAAGGGAACCACAATTTAGAGTAGAGAGAGACTAATGGGGGTAGGAGTCATAGAACTGGATAGGGGAGTAGTAGTAGTGACAGTAGCAGTATCAGTAGTGCAACAGTGATAGAGGTAACAATAAGGCAATAACAGTAGTGAAAGAGGAGGCAAAGAGTGGAGTGCTAGGGAATAGTACTACTACTAAAAAGAAAAGGCACAATACATCGACTGGAACGATACACAAACAACTCACACATAGAAGAGAAGAGTTTACGACGACATTTCTGTCCAACTTGGACCATTTACAAAGTCACACTAATGAGGAGAGTAGGATGGGTATACATAGGCAGGAGGTGGTAGTACTACTACTTCTAGTAGTAGTAATTACCACTACTACTACTAGTAGTAGTAGTAGTAATACTGTCATAAGTATTCCATCTCCTATGTTTGGGTAATTTATATATAACTGGATAAACAAGAGAAAATCCACGCAGATTATTATTTGTACTATTGTTATTATAATTATCATTAGAAATAGTATTAGTGGTTCAAGTAGTAGCAGTATCATCAGTATTATAATAATGATTACTATTATAATCATGGGTAATTCAGCTTCACCAGACTTGAGGAATCCTGTTTGAAAGAAGCCTCAAGGGGTCCCTCGGGTAACTTCCGCGCGCGCGCTCGACCAAAAATCGATAAATTATGGAAATTGAGTTATATATATCGAGAAATAGCTTAACTCTTTGGCAACACAATGGTACCAGAATGAATGTTCTACGACGTTTCTACAAGAAATTACAGTCATTTATATGAGGTAAGGTGACGGTGATATTGGTAGCGAGTCTGCTCACAGCCCATATATATTTTGGAAATTTTTCCTTGTTTTTTATCGCTTTTTCTTGCATTATATTTTCTAATATAATAACTGACTACTTGGCATCATAAAACTGAAGGCGGAGCTTATCCCTAGATTTAGCAACAGTCATTAATCATATCATGATGCACGTAAGGGTTGCCGCGCCAGGAAAAATAACTTCATTATACGCTTATATCAGCTTATATATCAACTCTACAGCTTATTTACTATCAGAATTGATCTAATATGATATAATAAACACTCTAAATAACATACAAACATGTTATATACTCTAGACTGAAAAAAATAGCCATAATATGGCGAAAGATTATCGGGAATATTTCGATAATATTGAGTTACTGCCTCCATGTCGTCTCCGTGTCGTATTCTTTGGTCTCTGAGTAAGAGAAAACGGTGTTTTGAAGAGGATAACTGCACTAGAACATCAGTTTACTAAGAAATACACCCAAACAAACGCGATTTTCGCGAATTTTTTTTTTTTTTTTGAGACGGTGGGCCGGCCGGCGTTCTAGGCCTATATCTCGGAAGTAACTTATTCACCTAATGTTCCTATTTTTGCATTTATTACTTAATTAAATGGAATAATATTCACAGAAATTGTAGAATAATGATTTCTCTAATTCTGTAAAAGCTAATTTTGGAAATATTCCAAATACTTTCGGAGTTATGTGGGAGTAAAGGGCAGATTTTTTGCAGTATTCCAGGAACTAAAAAAATATTTTTTTTTTTTAAATAAAGATACGTTATTTAGAGAAAAGGCGTTGCGTAAAATTCGTATAAGCATTGCTCTCTCGGCACCAAGTGTCCAAACAACCTTACGATGTCCCATATAGGAATGATTTTTGAGACAAGGACATTTTTCAGCAAATCAGTCTTTTTCAGTCTTTTCTCAGTTGTCGTTTGAGGTATATTTTTGATAAATATTTTCAAGAATGAGTGAAAACACTTTGTCTTGTGCACCAAAACTGGAGGAAATCGGACGGTAAACAAAAAAGCTAATTTTTTTGGCCCGAGGGACCCCTCAAGGCTTCCTGTTTGAAGGAAGGCTCATGGCATCTTCTTTGAAGGAAGCTTCAAGGCATCCTATTTAAAGCCTCACAGCTGCAGGTTCGAAGGACCACGGCATCCAGTTCGAAGGACCACAGCATCCAGTTCGAAGGACCACGGCGTCCAGTTCGAAGGACCACGGCATCCAGTTTGAAGGACCACGCCATCCAGTTCGAAGGACCACGGCATCCAGTTCGAAGGACCACGGCATCCAGTTCGAAGGACCACGGCATCCAGTTCGAAGGACCACGGCATCCAGTTCGAAGGACCACGGCATCCAGTTCGAAGGACCACGGCATCCAGTTCAAAGGACCACGGCATCCAGTTCAAAGGACCACGGCATCCAGTTCGAAGGACCAAGAGACGAGAGACAAAACACTCACCACAGTCGCTGGAATAGCCGGAGTGCTGTTGATGGAGGCTATGAAGGCTCCTGATGCTAGAGTCTGGGCCGGCATCGGGCATATAGCTGCAGAGACACCACACAAAAAACAATGTTTATCTATGTTATTATATTCAAACAGAGGTGCTTGACCCATAAGGGGGAGTTAACGGTGATGGAATTACTCGAAGAAGTTAAAGAGGTGCTATTACAATCTTCCGTAACTTAAAAACATAAGAATTACTGAAGATTTAACACAATGAGCATATCCCTGCTTCCACAGCCACAAATATATTGAAGAATAAGACACTAGTGCAACATTTGGGAGTCTTGAGGAAACGGTTCACCAGCCTGTGGTTTCTTCAGTCTAATACAGAAAAGAATGGTCGAAAATGAGAAGTGTGAATTGCTCATTACTCTATAATTTGTTCATGATTGTAGCCAAAGTATAAACGTAAGTAACCATTCTACAGAATTCATTACCTTTGTAACTTGTGAGCTCATTACCTTTGTACCTAGTTCAGCTATCAAAACTTTGGGGGCCCAGTCCCTGGACCCATTACGTACCTCTGTAATCTGTAAATACCTTTGTAACTTGTCATGATTGTGACCAGACTTACCTGGAGTTCATTACCTTTGTAAATTGTGAGTTCATTACCTTTGTAAATTGTGAGTTCATTACCTTTGTAAATTGTGAGTTCATTACCTCTGTAACTTGCTCAGCTATCAAAACTTTGGAGTCCAGTCCCTGGACCAATTATGTACCTCTGTAATCTTTTGACTACCGCCCACAGGATGGGTATGGGGTGCATAATAAACATATTAAACTAACTAAAGGTAATCAATCTCCTCAACCTGGCAAAATTTATCCACAATAATAGTTCCCAAATGTTGCATAAGTCTCCCATTTTTTAACATTGGTTTTCTAAGCCAGTTACATTACAAATATGTTATTACAGGAAGTAATTATTAAAAATAATCTTACTTCTCATGTAAGACATGTTGGGATTTTTAACCTGGGGTAGGGAGAGTTATCTAGACAGGATAACCTAGGGTAGGGTTATCTAGCCAGGATAACCTAGGGTAGGGTTATCTAGCCAGGATAACCTAGGGTAGGGTTATCTAGCCAGGATAACCTAGGGTAGGGTTATCTAGCCAGGATAACCTAGGGTAGGGTTATCTAGCCAGGATAACCTAGGGTAGGGTTATCTAGCCAGGATAACCTAGGGTAGGGTTATCTAGCCAGGATAACCTAGGGTAGGGTTATCTAGCCAGGATAACCTAGGGTAGGGTTATCTAGCCAGGATAACCTAGGGTAGGGTTATCTAGCCAGGATAACCTAGGGTAGGGTTATCTAGCCAGGATAACCTAGGGTAGGGAGTGTTAGCCACCCAAGATAACCCTCCATGGACCCATTATGTACCTCTGTAATGTTGAGGTACAGTTCCTGGACCCATTATGTACCTCTGTAATGTTGAGGTACAGTTCCTGGACCCATTACGTACCTCTGTAATGTTGAGGTACAGTTCCTAGACCCATTATGTGCCTCTGTAATGTTGAGGTACAGTCCCTGGACCCATTATGTACCTCTGTAATGTTGAGGTACAGTCCCTGGACCCATTATGTACCTCTGTAATGTTGAGGTACGGTCCATGGACCCATTATGTACCTCTGTAATGTTGAGGTACGGTCCATGGACCCATTATGTACCTCTGTAATGTTGAGGTACAGTTCCTGGACTCATTATGTACCTCTGTAATGTTGAGGTATAGTCCCTGGACAAATTATGTACCTCTGTAATGTTGAGGTACAGTTCCTGGACTCATTATGTACCTATAATGTTGAGGTATAGTCTCTGGACCCATTATGTACCTCTGTAATGTTGAGGTACAGTCCTTGGACCCATTATGTACCTCTGTAATGCTGAGGCACAGTCCCTGGACCCATTATGTTCCTCTGTAATGTTGAGGTACAGTCCCTGGACCCATTATGTGCCTCTGTAATGTTGAGGTACAGTCCCTGGACCCACAGGATAGGTATGCTGTGCATAACACTAGACCTCATCTTCACTAACAATGATGATCTGATAAGAAATGTCACCATATCAAAAACAATATACTCAGATCACAACATAATTGAGGTTCAGACATGTATGCGTGGAGCCTCAGACCGACAAAATGAGACTAGTCACGAGGGAGCATTCACCAAATTCAACTTCAATAACAAAAACATAAAGTGGGACCAAGTAAACCAAGTCCTAACCGATATAAGCTGGGAAGATATACTAAGCAACACAGACCCAAACTTATGCCTAGAACAGATTAACTCGGTAGCACTCGATGTATGCACAAGGCTTATTCCTCTAAGAAAAAGGAGGAGTAGATGTAAAATAGAAAGAGACAGGCGCTCCCTTTACAGGCGACGGAAAAAGAATAACAGAGCGGCTAAAAGAGGTCAATATATCAGAAATGCGCAGGGAGACACTGGTCAGAGAAATAGCAAGCATCGAACTTAAGCTAAAAGAATCCTTTAGGAGTCAGGAATCGCGGGAAGAACTAAAAGCCATAAATGAAATCGAAAGAAACCCAAAGTATTTCTTCTCCTATGCCAAATCAAAATCGAGAACAACGTCCAGTATTGGGCCCCTACTTAAACAAGATGGGTCCTACACAGATGACAGCAAGGAAATGAGTGAGCTACTCAAGTCCCAATATGACTCAGTTTTTAGCAAGCCGCTAACCAGACTGAGAGTCGAAGATCAAAATGAATTTTTTATGAGAGAGCCACAAAATTTGATTAACACAAGCCTATCCGATGTTATCCTGACGCCAAATGACTTCGAACAGGCGATAAATGACATGCCCATGCACTCTGCCCAGGGCCAGACTCATGGAACTCTGTGTTCATCAAGAACTGCAAGAAGCCCCTATCACGAGCCTTTTCCATCCTATGGAGAGGGAGCATGGACACGGGGGTCGTCCCTCAGTTACTAAAAACAACAGACATAGCCCCACTCCACAAAGGGGGCAGTAAAGCAACAGCAAAGAATACAGACCAATAGCACTAACATCCCATATCATAAAAATCTTTGAAAGGGTCCTAAGAAGCAAGATCACCACCCATCTAGAAACCCATCAGTTACACAACCCAGGGCAACATGGGTTTAGAACAGGTCGCTCCTGTCTGTCTCAACTACTGGATCACTACGACAAGGTCCTAAATGCACTAGAAGACAAAAAGAATGCAGATGTAATATATACAGACTTTGCAAAAGCCTTCGACAAGTGTGACCATGGCGTAATAGCGCACAAAATGCGCGCTAAAGGAATAACAGGAAAAGTTGGTCGATGGATCTATAATTTCCTCACTAACAGAACACAGAGAGTAGTCGTCAACAGAGTAAAGTCCGAGGCAGCTACGGTGAAAAGCTCTGTTCCACAAGGCACAGTACTAGCTCCATCTTGTTCCTCATCCTCATATCCGACATAGACAAGGATGTCAGCCACAGCACCGTGTCTTCCTTTGCAGATGACACCCGAATCTGCATGACAGTGTCTTCCATTGCAGACACTGCAAGGCTCCAGGCGGACATCAACCAAATCTTTCAGTGGGCTGCAGAAAACAATATGAAGTTCAACGATGAGAAATTTCAATTACTCAGATATGGTAAACATGAGGAAATTAAATCTTCATCAGAGTACAAAACAAATTCTGGCCACAAAATAGAGCGAAACACCAACGTCAAAGACCTGGGAGTGATTATGTCGGAGGATCTCACCTTCAAGGACCATAACATTGTATCAATCGCATCTGCTAGAAAAATGACAGGATGGATAATGAGAACCTTCAAAACTAGGGAGGCCAAGCCCATGATGACACTCTTCAGGTCACTTGTTCTATCTAGGCTGGAATATTGCTG